ACGACGGATGTACGCTCTTTCATGGGTTTGGCTGGATATTATCAGCGATTCGTCGAGTCATACTCGAAAGTGGCCACTCCTTTGTCGAGACTTCAGTCCCCGAAGGTGCCCTTTGAGTTCGACGACGCAGCCCGTGGCGCGTTCACTACGTTGAAGGCAGCGATGCAAGCCGCACCTGCCCTCCGTATATACGAGCCCACCCTACCCACCCAAGTGACTACGGACGCTTCGGGATACGGTATTTGCGCGGTGTTGGAACAGTGTCATGAGGATGGTTGGCATCCGGTCGAGTATGTCTCCCAAAAGGTGCCTCTCGTAAACACTCTCGACGACGCTAGGAAGAAAGAGCTACTCGCGTTCGTCACCGTTCTCAAACGGTGGCGCCACTTTCTTTTCGACCGTCGACATTTTAAATGGAATACGGACAACAATTCGTTGACCTTTTACAAAATGCAGGATACGGTCACTAGCACGATCGGTCGATGGATGTATTACATCGACCAGTTCGACTTTGACCCGTGTCACATTCTCGGTCCTTCCAATCGAGCTGCGGATGCCCTATCATGACGGCCCGACTTTTGTGCCATTGTGACCACGACATTCGACCTCGATGATGATCTGCAGCCGCATTTCGTCAAAGGCTACAAGTCCGATCCGACTTACTCTACGTTTTACACAGAGCTTTCATCGGTCGGATTTCCGACGGGTTCCTTCTCCTTCATACGAGAGGAAAGGACTTGTTAGTTGTGCCCCAAGATCGCATCTTACGGACTCGTCTTCTCGGCGAATTCCAYGAMGCACGACTTTCGGCASACCTTGGCRTGAACCGCACACTAGCACGCCTCCGCYAGCGTTTTCACTRGCYCGACGTCCTTCATGACGTCACGAGGTACATTGAGTCATGTGYAGTTTRCCAYYRTAACAAGGGTCGATCTCGAGTCCCCTTCRGCGAACTGAAACCGTTGCCGATCCCTCGGGCACCACGCCTCTCCATTGCTATGGACGTGACAGGCCCGTTTCCCCGCGATCGCCACGACCATGACGGTATTCYCACGGTYGTTGACCGTTTGAGCAAGTATGCTCGCTTCCTTCCTTGCAAGTATCATGCTGCAGCGCCTGAGCTCGCACGACTCTTGCACACTGGTTGGATTACCAACCAGGGTGTTCCGGAAGACATAGTGAGCGACCGAGATACTCACTTCATGTCGGCTTTTTGGACTTCCCTCATGGCTGAGTCCAGTACGACAATGAAGCCGAGCTCGGCTCGGCACCCGTAGACGGATGGCCAGATGGAGCGAGCACACCAGACCGCTCAGATAATGTTGCGTACGCTCAT